AAAGCTAGACATCGTTATATGCAACTCACAAATATCATTTCAAAGTTGTATTTTAGACATTGGAAATATATATCTAATGTTATGCATTATATAATTATTAATATTATATTTACATAGTACATATCATAAAATATGACTACTAAATAATATTTATAAATGATATTTTTAAAATACATTTGAAAATACTATTTTGATAAAGCTGATGATTATTCTACACAAACGCAACCACCTACTAGAAATATATTCTAAAATAGTTCAACACCTCACTTGGCTTAATTTGTATTCTAACATCGTTATAACATTAATAATATTAAATAATGTCATCTCACAGAAAGGAATTTACTAAGTAGATTACATTACACTCATATATAAATATATATATATATATATATATATATATATATATATATATATATACCGATGATAGCGACTTACGCAAGTTAAGTAAAACGCTGCACTTCAAATTCAAGAAACAAACTTAATAACAAACTGGCTATTTTTAAAAATATATATAAAAACTTATAACATTATGTACCTAATATATATAATATATCTATATATAACATAAATAACTAAATCAACACTATGTGCACACATTTATATGTATGAACATTATATGCGATATAATAATTAGCATTGTATATAAAATATCCGAAACGTGTTCGGTTTCATTTATACTTTATAATATATTAATGAAAGATTATAATATATATATATATATATATATATATATATACATAATCTTTTTTTGGAATGATGTCAAATAATACGCTAGATATGTACAGTAACAGTCATCTCAATTGGAATCATTGCCTCGAAACAGCTTTTGTGAAAAAAATAAGATGCATTCAATGTTATAAACATATTTTAAACAACTGTCATGACAGAGATATAAATTTATGTTATTGGAATTAATTAATCAATTTTTTCTAATTAATTGACAACAGATAAGAGTGCATACGTGAAATGAATTCGTAACGCCAATTTGAGACCACTGCATTTGCATTACAATTACTTGCAGATACTTAGCTATTTCGTAGACATGCCATATTCAATTTTATTAAATTCGGGACGGCACACGAAAATGCGTTGATTTGGTTCATGGTTTATTAAATTATAAAAGTATTATAATCTCTTCAGTTCAAGGAAAGTATTAATATTCAAACTAAATCTATTGAACAACTGGATGCATCCAGTAACTGACTTGCTATCACCTGATCAGCAAGTTGCACCGAAAAAAGTCTTTGTGGTGCTAAATCTAAATTGTTCATTTGCTTGTTAGGTAAAGTTTTGAGCAATTAAAGCCAATGTCCGAAGCATAAACAATTTTTAGTCACATCTCTTCAAATCGAGATGTTTTGCTGAAATGTACGCATCTGCGAATGTCGTCCCGTTTGGGTTGCTTGCACCAGCGATACTTTATTTTCATGATCTCATATCATAAAAATTTAGAATTTTATAACTTTGCTATCATGTAATATTTAATTCAAAAATTAATTTCTTACGACTATTTTCGTGCTACAGAATATTTTTACTGTAAAAATCCTTTATAACTCACCAATAAAGTATTGCCAGCAGATGCTAACCTTCGCAAAATATTTATCTACAAAAACATTCGTAGAAAAATATTTTGTGTGCAAATATAGAATTTAAAATAATTTAGATACAAAATAGATTTACATTAACTACTATGACAAAGTAATACAACAGCCAATGCTTTGGAGCGAAAAGTTGAAGAAGTATCTCATCGGGATTATGTTATCTGATATATAATGACCTTAATTAAAACCTTTTTGCAAAAATATTCGAATAAAATAGCGTGAAAACATACATTGAACAATTATTGCCTACATAAGATCCTTTTATACTTATGCTAGAACATGCGTTTGATTGAAACAACAGTGAAAATAAAAGCATTTACAATATTTGTAACGTGTTATACTCAAAGATGCTATAATATGCAAAAGTAAAAAATACTAAAAATAACATTTGGTTTAGTAAGATAACTGGGAAAATTTTATAAAAGCTATTTCCTTGACGTTACAATACAAGACGTAATCACTCTTAAAATTATTGAAATTTGGAATGTAAAAAATGCAAAATTGTAGTTTTATCATTTCATCAACTCACAAAGAATAAAAAATATTATTGAATCACTGGAATGTATGTTATTTCATCAAATATTTAACCAATAATTCAAAAAAAAAATTTTTGAAATCACAACACCTCATTTATCAAGTTATGCATATGTGGAATAAACTATATTAATTTCAGGTTGATTTTTGAATAGTTTGTAATCTTTACTTCTAATAAATTCAATTTAATTTGAAGAGTAAGGGATCAAATATGTGATTTCCAAAAACGCTAAAATTTTGTTTCGAGGATTGAGGATATTTGAGTAAGTTTTTTTCAGAAATGTAGGAAATTATGAGGTTAACCAATGAATGTTTCTAATTTGTAAGAAAGAGCTATCATCGTATGCTTTTTAATTCTATATAAATAAAAATATGATATATTTGGTCAACGCAGATAATTTTATAGCAATTTTCGCATCGCGGCTATTCTGAACAAGTTTGCTGATGTATAGAAACTTGTCTATAAAATGGAACTATGGATATGTCTATAGAGCCTTCAATAAAACTTATTATAATTATTTATATTTATTCAAAACTTAAAACATAGCATATCTCTTATTTGGTCCAACATAAATATGTATGAGTTTCATCTACGTATGTATACATTTAATTTACTTTAATTTAATCAATTAATAGTTATAATAATATTTTATTTCATTTCATTATATAGTATGTGGCATTATATTTGATTTTGGTAAATTCGTCATCCAAGATCTTGAATAATAGTCACAAAGTGCAAAGTGAAAATAGATATTGTCGTCTTTTGAATCACATTTAACATCCCATAGGATGCATATCATATGATCAGATGATCAATACACAAGTGGAACCTTGAAATAGTTCTTGCAATTTAATTGATGTATGTGGTATGGTAATTTTTAGTCTTCTTTGTGCCTATTATTCAAGATATCTTTAGAATTTAATAGAGTTAACAATTTGAAATCAAAGCAATTTTCAAAACATTATGTGTAAAATATACATTTATACAACATAAATAATGCTTTTGCATATAGAAATATATATATATATATATATATATATATATTTATATATATATATGTATATATATAATGTATATATGACATTCAGAGATACAATAAATAATGAAAACGTTAATAAATTTAAAGTTTACATCGTATATTACAATACAGTGGATTGTAAAGTATAAAAACTATCGTGATTGGTTTTCATTATTTGTTGTAGTGGCTATTGTTACATAATTAATAGTTTAAAATTTCATTAAAAAATTGTTGTCTATTGTATTTTCTACCAGTACAATTGTTTTAAATATCAATCTTATATCTCTCCATTTAACAATTGAAACATGCCCCTTCCTTGGTACACCATTTACAACAGAGCTACTGACTCGACCGAATGATCTATGATCGCGATCGCATCGTATCCATTGTAATTTGTACTTGAGTCATTCATAATGCAGTAACTCCATTGAAATCATACCAAAAATATATTTTTTACTGCTATATATATCAATTAATATATAGTTTTAAATATATATGTAATATGTATGTGGTTGTAAATACCTATGTTTATAACAAATATTTTTTTACCATTTATATCGGTCTAATTGCACTTCTTTGTTGTTAGTTTTAAATTAAGGAAAGAAAAATATTTTATTTTATAAATAGAAAATCTTACACAAATATACGAGTACTGTTTTGTGATTTAAAAATGTATAGTTACATTTATTCTAATCGTATCTTAACGCGAAATTGTCTAATTGTAAGACATATTTTATTTAGAGAAAATATACATTCAAAATTTTGGATCACTAAATCACAGATAGCATAATTTTTGAGGAACTAAATATAGATGTACGTCGCCGCGTGGAATGTTCGTATAATACAATTGTGCCGAGGCGGTATCTGGATTCGTGCTGATGGAGTGTTAATTGATATGTGTCGAAGGTTCATGGTAAATTGGTCAAAATGCTATTTGGTCAATTTGGTTACTAATATTATTAAGGTGGATTCAATATCTGAATAAAATACAATATACTAATAATAGGGCTAACGACGTACATCCGTATTTCGATATTCTTCTAATTATCTTAGAGATAATTTTGTTGAATTTCCAGTTTTGTCCAATTGTTCCATTTTTTATATATAATTTATTTTCAGTGAAATGAAATGTACTTAAATACTTTAAGCATATACAGTCGTATATTTTTGTGTTTGAAAATAGCCATTTGGTGCGTATTTAATCATTATCATTTCAAACATTTATAATAGTGATACAGTAATAATATTTTCATAAACCTTATTTTTGACAATTTTGAAATGCATCAGACCTAAACCGTTCACACAGAAATTTCTCATCTTGCAAATATACCGATAATCGAAATATCGTATACTTTAAAATGAGATTTGAAGATCTAATGAAAATAACATTGCGGTACTCATCGACGGTATGTTTTAGTAATAATAATTTTTAAAATTTGTCATAGGCTATATATGAACTATAATTTTCTTATTTCATTACACTAATTTAATTTTTGAGGTATACGTGACGTTCAAGACACACAGATATATATTTAATTTTTATATAATATAATTTTAATATAATAATTTTATATGATGTGACATTGATTTTAGATATTTCGAACAACATGTAGTAAACGATTAAATTTTGATATACGCCAAACATATATTTTATATTTATGGGATTGATTGAATATATTTTTCGAGCGAACACTAAAAATCTTAAAAATATTTTTTCCTCAAATATGTATTTTTCACGATACTACTAGAAAATCAACAAAACCTAAATGTATCCAAATTCCAAAGGTACAACATTTACTTAGAGCCTTTTATGCACTTATGCACCTATCTAATAATGTGTATATCAAAGTTCAAAATAAAAATAAATATTTTATTTAATAAAGTCATCGGATCGCGCACTCACTGTTTATATTTACGTTCAGTCACACGCGTCCCATGGGCCATTTCTACGTATCTTCCGCTGATCCATTCTGCTCGGTGCGTTCGGGTGGTTCTTGTTTGAAGGATGTAGCTCTCTCGGACATGAAGTCCATCACCTTGAAGTCTTTGGGACCTGACCGCGTCGGCGGCCGTTCGGGGAACGAAAGTGACGCTCGTTTCGCGTCACTGGCGAATCCCAGAGGACTCGACGGACGCTCGTGCGTCGGGCGGCTGTTGCGCACCAGCTGATCCAGCAACGCGGTGCCCGTCGCCGGCTCACTCTTGACGCGGTGATTCGGTAAACCCATCTCAAGGCTCGACCGAATGATGCCGTCCAGAAAACTGCCATTTGCGCCTGTGCCATCATACAGCGATTCAGCTATCTCCCTTTGGATTTTACTTGAAGCCCCCTTGCCCGCACTGCACCCGGCTGCTTGCTGACGCATCATTTGAGCTGCAAAGTACTCGGAATTTGCTTGCGGAAAACCTGCACCTGGCGGCCGGGCAAAATCCATTGGCACGCCATGGAATTGTGTGGGATGCGGCCAAAAGGGAAAGCTTTGGGGATATCCTAGTTGAACAAGGCCCGCTGGATCAATTAAGGGTGAAATTTTCAAACCATTTGCGGCTGGCGATGGAAATACTTTGCCCGTTGGTTTTGGAATGGTTTTGTTTTTATCTAAACGCAACGCATTGTTAGCTGACATCGCGTCTACTTTAGAATTTTTATCGTCTGTGGGCTGAGGCTTTGGTTCACGCTTTCTAGGACGCATTAAGTGTCTCTCTTTAACTTTATATTCTAATGTTGAATGTGGTACACCATAATAACTACCGGCCCTATGCACCGACATTTCACCTCTCTGTACTGCTTTCACTGCTTCCACTAGACTATCCCTATCGTAATTTCTGTATTTGCCGCGCTTTGGTCGTGTGCCCTTACCGCCTGTTCCGCCCGTACTATTACTGGCTTGTTGATTAGCGTTAACAGAAAAGTTATGACCACCTAAATTCTTGATTACTGATATGCCTTGACCTTGTTGAACTGGTGGAGTAATTCTTTCACGCTTAAGTGATAAGGAATTAAGGTTTTCAATACCATCGACAGCCAGTGATGTAGCAGGTAATTTGTCTGATGGAGCGGTTTCATGATTTGGTGGGCATTGTTGGAATTTTTCACTAATGCTTTTCGCAATTACGTCACGTAAACATACTACTTGTGGTGAAGTTGAATCAGTCGTATTGGATGAATGGGCCGAATTATCCAAGCCAGCCGAAGCTATGCTGAACAATTGTTGGAATGCATCACCGCCATTTCTTTGCGAGTTATTGGATGTTGGCGTTGAATTGGGCGTACTGCCCCCTACTGGTTTGAAGGACGGAATCTTCAGTATCACATTTGCTGCAGAATCATCGGCGTCTGCATTTCTTTCATTCGTAGCTTGCGTCAGATCTGAGCGAACTATAACACCGCAATTGCGTTGCAACCGTTTCGCTAGTTCCTCATCACTGACGGATTTTCCATTATTCAATTCGGCGTCTTTCGTTTTACGTTCGTCTGTCGCAGCCGTTTCGGCAACCCTCGGTCCCGGCAAAACTCCCGCGGCAATCAAACTCTGCAGATATGGAGCTATCGCACGCCTGTCCATGCCGCCCCAGACATCAGGTTCATAGTATTTATTACCCGTTGCACCTTTTTGCAAAAGGGAACGTAAGCCCTCATTGGTAAAAGCGGGTGAACTGTCTAATTGAGAAAACCTCAGTATGTCATCCATTGATAACAAAGGGCGTTGCAATTCTTTGATAACTTCACGTTCCTCTTCTGCTCCAGATAATTCTTTGTCTTCATCATCTTCTTCATCTTCCAACTTATCAGCAGCGGCTAGATTGATGAGTCCAGATGGTAGCAAATGTGATTCCCGCTCGCGTTCCATTGCCAATTTATAAACTTTGTTACGCAAGGTGGATCTCGGTATACCATAAATAACGGCAGCTCGTCGAGTGCCTAATTTACCTGATTGAATATCACGTAAAGCAGCCTGTAGTTCATCTTCGGTGTAAGTGCGTCGGCCTGCCACAGTTGACACCCGAGGTTTGGCCCTGCAGGAAAAATATAATGTATTAATGAAATTTTTAAATACAAAATTAAAAATTGGAGAATCATTCAGACATGTAATTCAATATTTTATTTACACTTTGCTCATTAGTTTACAATTATTTACCAGAACTAATGTAGTTCATAGTTGGATATCGTTTTAAAGGAAATGAGTTAAGAATACGAATTCCACAAAACAAAACTTTTTTACGAGAAATTGAAACTAAACAACGGCCCGCAAAAGTTTTAAAAACCAACCTGCTGACTTTTAGCAGTCATGCTTTGTACTGATTATTTATAATTCGTAGTGCAAGTCTTTATTCGATCGTGTCACTGGTGTGCGTGTTTCTTATGTGCGTGAAAGTATGTGTGCGGTGTAAATCGCATCGGGCGAGATGCATTGTCTTGCGCTTGTACTAGTTTTATTCTCCGGAAATCAAACATAGACATCCCTTGCCAGCCGCCCGAAGGTGGAGGGATGGCGCGCGAACTACTAGAGAGAGGAGAGAGTTATTGATCGCCTGAAATATAACACAAAAAAAGGGGTCAACGAATTCTCAGATTTCGCGCCGGCTAATGACTGCGTCGCGACGCCTTGAGCTTTCGAGGGGGTCGCGGAAGCTCCCCAAAGGGACAAGGTGGGCGGTGCCATGCGCGGGCGGGTCCGGGCGCTAGGTGGAGCCAATGCCGATATCTGAGGGTGAAATTTACTCTTGTTATGTATGTACGCACAAGAACACAAGAAAGCACACGCATGGACGTGCCGTTGTTTAAAACATACGCGCCTTGGCGGTTGCTCGCCTTATTATACGAGCTTGTATTGCCGCCTTACGAGATGCCTAGTGCGTCGTGCGTCGATGTATTTGTGTTTTCAGTTTTGACTCGCGTGCGTGACGACTGGCCCGCATTTGCATTTCGCTTATCGTTCTTATTTATACCTTACACTATTTTGTTCTAAGCCATATATCCGAATCAGTTGTACAACAATAAACTGAAACGTTAGTATCAAAATAGTTTGAAAAAATGTTAAAACCTTATTAACTTCCCGTACGGTAAGTTATTGTAATCGTCCAAAAAACGAAATTGACATTTTTTGCATATCTTTACGTTTCAAAAAAAATTGTTGTGTGCCTAGCCGTTTTCGAAATACGAACCAAAGAGTTCAGAAAATGGAAATTAATTTTTTGGAGAACCGAGCATCCGATTTAAATGATTCAAAAAACATTCAATTTGTAATGATGAGAAGACCTGATGATTAGATTTTGGCAAAGACAGTCCCAACCGTTTCAGAGATAAAGAGTTAAAAGTGTAAAAAACAGCATTTTTTGAAAGAACAAAGCATCCGATTCGAATGATGCAAAAAACATTTTGCTTGTAAAAAAACATTAGTTATTGATGAAAGCATTTTTTTTAAGTTTCAAACTTTCAATTACCATTTTTTTAAAATACCAAAAATGATTCACATTTTAATTTTAATTCTAGTTAAAATTCTAAAGCTCACTTATATACTTGATATAAATAATTTTAACTTTGCAATTCATTTTATATAATTCTTAGAGATAAGTTTCTGCATTCTAACTTTGTTTTATTTATTTACTTTTCATGTAAACATATGCCAACGTCGTCGTCCAATTTAAAAGCTCTTATATTTTTTCTATAGAATACGAATAATGAATGTTACAGTATTTATAATAATCTATTTGAAAGCATTTAATATTTCTCGAATATTTCATCACGGGAAGTTCTAACAGCTTGCCTTAAGGCACGATGCCATGCACCACTAGTTTATTTAAGATATATTGTTGCATCTATTACGTCCTAAAAACTTAATTAGTATCCTCCAGATTTAATATGTAACATGCAGATTTAATATAGCAATATTTGAATAGTAATATAATTAGTAAAATTTGTTGTAACAATTTAGTCTTCTCATTGAAGCGATACCTATTGATCGGTAGCTTGTGGCGACTGGGTTAAAAATATCAAGGCAAAGTATCGATAACGGGCGGTAAAGAAAGTATCGGCCCAAATTATCGATGCTAAGAAAGTATTGTTACTAAAGTATCGATACTGGTATACTGTAAGAAATACTACAAATTTGAAGCGACAATATTGATATATAAAAGTGTATTTATATTTAATAATGTATATGAAATAGATTTGTTATCTTAACATTTTTGTAGTAATCACAGATAATATTTTTTTTGGTTATTATTTATCAGCATCATTATTATATGAAAAAAAAGGACTTATTATAATAAAATTATTATTATTCAAGTATTTTAAATAATTGTCATTATTTTGTTCAGCGATTATAAAACGTAACTATTTTACGTAAAACTGCATAGACTTAATTAATTGCATATGCTTTTGAATTAAATAAGCAATTATAAAATGTTACTCTTATATGTAAAATAGTAATTTGTAAATATTTGTTAATTTTTTAATTAGAAATATATTTTATTTAACAAAAATACGGAACCCTTATGAATTATCCTCTTATGTATCAATACCGCCGAAAAGTATCGATTTCATAAGTACTTATGCTTGTATTGGCAACAAAATAAAACCAGTGGTGACCCCTTTACTATAATATGATCTAGAGGGCAAATGACTCTGCAGCGCCATAGGTTGCAGGTATTTTTTTGACATTTGACGTAAAGCATGTGAATTGTTAGTACTTACAATGTTTGATGAATTGTTAGTTATTATAGTTATTATTTTGAACAAAAATTAACCCAGTGTGTGTTGGTGTCTTGTTCCAAATGTGTATAAAAGTTTCCGACAACCTCCGATTCAACAATGTATTGAGTTGAGGTCGAGGATGCAACGTGAATTACGGTGAGTTCAAATAAATTATATCATACCAAGGAAGTTTTATAAATGCAAAGCACTTCTGCTAATATATATTTATGATAGATCTGAAAAGTTCCCAAAGAAAAATGCGTTATTTGCGATAAAAAGAGCAAGTAATGAAAATGTAATATTGCAATATACGTTTTTTGCATTTTCAACTGCATGCACTTTTTATCAGATAATGCATAAAAATTGCTCAGTATATTTGATTTGAAAAATGACATGAGCAAACACATTCAGCAAACGCATTGAGCAATAAGCGCCCAGTACTGAATTCGCTCACCTGTGCTTGTCAAACTGCATTTATTTGATAAACTTTTATTTTTGTGTAAAATCCAATTTGTTTTAGTAAACAAGTTTTTTTATACCAGCGCAGAATAATAAATACTACTGAATTTTAGATAAGCAAACAATTCGCAATTTATTTTATTTTTATCATGAAGTAAACCCTATTTTGTGTGAATTAGGTTTTCAGTTTAATTAACTTCCCGTAGGGCAAGTTATAGTAATCGCAAAAAAATCGAAAATGAAAATTTTTATATATCTTTACGTTTCAGAGGTTTCTGAACATTTTGGTATACCTTAGAAAAAATGGATGTATGTGTGTGTGAGTGTGTGTGTGTGTATGTGTGTGTGTGTGTGTATGTATGTATGTATGTGTGTGTATGTATGTGCGGATACAAATTTTCGTCGACGATTTCGGGAACACGGATCAACCGATTTGAATAATTCAAAAAACATTCGATTCGTATTGATAAGAAGACGTGCTGATTAGTTTTTGGCGAAGGCAGGTCTAGCCGTTCCGGAGATACGGGGCAAAAAGTGCCGAAAACGGTAACTCAGTTTTTAAGAGAACGGAGCGTCCGATTTTAATAATTCAAAAAACATTTTACTTGTATTGACAAGATAAAGAATTGATCAAATTTTCATAAAGGCAGGTCTAGCGGTTTCGGAGATCTAATGAAAAAAGTAGAAAAAAATGCCATTTGGCGGTCAAAAATGATCATTAGACATATGCACATCAAATTTTCAGATATTTTATAGAGATTTTAACAATAAGTATAAATTTTATTTTCCTATGGGTTCCGTACCAATGTTTACCCGTTAGACAGCGACGCCGCGCTTACGCGCTTTATGTCTCTATGCAGTTAAAGCAGTACGATTGCTTAGAAAAACAAGTTCAGATCTTCCAAAATATGTCAAAATAAAGAAAGCATTTTTTTTTCAAAAAAAAAATAAAATTTAAAAAAAAAAAAATTTTTTTCAAAAATGTTAATCGTTTTTAAAAAATTAATAATTTTTGGTACGGGAAGTTCCAGCAATTTGCCTTAAGGCACGATGCCCTAATTGCCTTAAGACAGAATTCCACTTACAGCTAGTTATTTTTTTTAACTCGTGAACGTTCTAAAAAATAAGTTATAAATTATAAAAAAAATTATCATAAAAAAATTCTTACAATTTAAGTTATTCACGCGAAATCAAAACATTGCATGAAATAATTTCCTTAAAAATGATGAATCGCTTCTCTTTGCCATTCATTTCATTAGATGAATTAATGTGAATTCTGGATATTTTATAATATGTTGATTAGATATATTTTTTCAAAAGATACATACGTACATTTTTCACATCTTTCGTGAACTATAAAATATGTAGGTAATAGGTAATAAGTAGTGATAAACTTTTTTTTCAACTTTTTACGTAAAACTTCACAGAATCTATTAAAATTTATAAATTTTTACTATATTTTCCATGAAAGTTAAACTTAAGTGCTTAGATATAAATTAAAACTCGAACTGAAATTCTTCCAATTCAAAACTGCTATATATCAAGAAATTTTTATTATCAGGAGGGAGAAAAACAGAAGGGTATTGATGTAAATTAAAGATGCTATTGTTCAGACGATAGAAAAATCGAACATATACAGATATTGGCTTCGTTCTAGCTGTGCAATGAATGCGACACAGGCCGTTGGGGTTACTGGGTCAATTTCAGTTCGGTCTAAATGGAATATCAAAATAACGACCGTTCTATCAATCCAATATGACTTTTGTATATATTTAGTAAAAACTATACAGATGAATTTTGTTCTTGATGTCTTAGTCAATTCATCAGCTATCAAAGAAATACGTCAAACAAATAGAATAAT